TATATATATTGAATAATTGTTATTGTTACTTTCAATTACTCATTCCCAAAGCACATGATTTTTTAATAAACTGAATTGAATTGAATTGAAAAAGTGTAAATGCTTGGGAACAAAGACGCATTGTGTCTGTGTTTATATTAGCATTATAGTATCATCTACAACAGATTTCTAATAATGTAGCATTCTTGCCAATGTGTAATTCCTTTTATTTTTTAACCTCAGAAGAGGGTGCTCAGGTAACCCCTGGATACGCTACTGAAGAATCTGTCTTTTTTAATTGTAGCTCACTCCAGTGGCCTATAGTATGAACATGGGGAAGCGATGATTGATAGGGGTAAAGAAGTAAGTATGAACTCAGATAATATGCGATGTCTAACCAATGGCAATGCCAATTGCAAGTCCCAGTAGCATGCTCGGAGCAATGTCATTCTGTGGAAAACAATGCTTTGAAAACATATTTTTACCATGTTAATGTGATATAGCTGCCGGCAGTTGTATATTTTTAAAACTTTTTAACTTCAGCCACAACATTGTTTTGACTAAATTTATATAATGGGCATTTTTTGTGTGTCTAACTCCTCGACACATAAGTGGTGGTAAATTAGGGTGATAGGATGTAACCAGTGGCACTCTGGTCGATTGCTGACGTAGTTTGGATTTTGAACACGAGGTATGTCCTTTGCTTTTTTGAATTGGTCCACTATCATATTTTCTTTTACGAAAGTGTCTGGATAGTGCTTTTTTGCGATTCTGAACATTTATATCAGAAAAAAAATGCGTCTCGCATGCGCAATACTTGGTTAAACGGAATAAATTTTGGGGAATGACAGCTACTGGTGAGTAGATACATTCATTCATTCATTCATTTTATTTAGACACGAGAGCATTTTAACACAAAGGTTGTTTTACAAATGGTCGTGGATACTCAAAAGACAAATATAATAATATAATGTATAATAGAATTATATATAGTATGAAAATAATAACAATAGAATAATAATTAAATATAAGAATAACATTACAAACTTGACTTAAAAATCGAAAGAGAAGGCGATGATCTAATCTCAAATGGGAGACAATTCCATTCCATCCGGACAATTCCATCTTGAAATTACTGTTAGGTTTAGGAATATGGAGTTTAAGGCAATCAAAATGTCGCAAACTGTAAGCACTTTGTTTTTCAAATTTGAAAAGATTTTGAATATAAAAGGGCATAAGTAGTTGTTTGACAGATTTATACATAAAAATTGTCACTTTCCTGGATCTACCGAGATACAGATTTAGCCAGCTCAGACTGTCTAACACTGTTGCAGCTGGTTCATCCCATTTGCAACCGAGGATAACACGTCCCGCCCTATTTTGAAATCTTTGAACTTTTGCAGCCAAAGTATCACTACAGTTGCCCCAAACTTCGCAACAATACTCAAAATGAGGCAAAATGATAGAATTATATAAGGTAATTTAACAATCATTAGGGACAACACATTTTACTCTTTTTAAGGCACCAATACCCTTAGAAACTTTAGAGCAAACTAAATCAATTTGTTTTTCCCATGTTAAGTGTCGGTCAATTATAATCCCTAAATATTTGCACGATTCGACTTGTTTAATGTGCTCGCTTCCAATTTTAATGTTAAGTACCTGATTAACAAATCTTAATTTCTGGTGAGACCGAATTAGCATTACTTCACATTTCTTCGTATTTAAGGTGATTTTATTTTGCTTAAGCTAGTTATTTACGTTAGCAAGATCAATATTTAACATATCACTAATTTCTTCACTTGTTCTCCCAGCGCAAAATATTGCGGTATCGTCCGCAAACATGTTAACACTACAGGACAACACACAATTTGGAAAATCGTTAACAAAAATCGTAAAAAGAATAGGGCCGAAGTATGGACCCTTGAGGGACACCATAATTCACGTTCAAAATCTCAGATCTGGCCTCTTCAACAACCGTAAACTGTTTTCTATTTGAAAGATAAGATTTGAACCACTGCAATGCCATATTTTCCAACCCAAGTTTACCTAACTTATACAAAAGTATTTTGTGGTCGACCGAGTCGAACGCTTTTTTTTAGATCAAGTGTGACTAACCGAATTACTTTTCCTTTATCAATAAAATCTATCCACTGTTCAGTTACATGAATAAGAGATGTACATGATGAATGCATTGGTCGAAAACCAGATTGAACATTACTTAAAAGATTATTTTCATCTAAAAACTTATATAACTGATTAAATATAACTCTTTCAAACAACTTTGGAATAATTGAATGTAAAGAAATCGGCCGATAGTTGCCAGGATTACTACGATTTCCTGTTTTAAACAAAGGAATTTCCCTTGAGAGTTTAAGCAACAAGGGAAATTTACCTGTAGTTATAGAGTGGTTGATAATATGCGTTTTCACCTGGACAATGAATGGTACTGAGAGTTTAATTAGCCTAGACGGAAATGTATCCGGACCAGAGCTTTATTAGGTGAAAGAGACATTAATAATTTAAAAACCTCCTCAGTTTCCACATGTTGTAGATGAAGCACAATGTAATTTTCAGTTTCAGTACTTTTAGTTAAACCAACATCGGAAAATAAATTATATTCTTCATTTTGAAACTTAGCCGCTAACTCAGAACCTATGTTAACATCAGGATCAATTACTAAATTCCAATCAATTTTTCTCAGATCATAAATGAATGCTTTCATCATTAAAATTTTTAAAGCAACGTTTAAATTTACAAGTATGTGAACCACTTTTTGGGGGGTTTCCTCGACCAATACAACAGTAAATGAAAGAATGGTCACTATTGCCTAATTCAATCACACCAGCCTTAGAAATTCTACCTGGATTAGGGGTTATAATTACACCAATGAGTGTTTGCGTTTCCTGTGTAGGTTCATCAATAATAATTTTTAATTGAAATAATTCACAAAACTCATTTAATTTTCTAGTATGACAATGGGGATCTAAAGAAAGCAAATCACAATTTAAATCACCAAGAATCAACACATCTTTCTTTTCGCATTCAATAGTTGTAATTACATTTTCAAAATGTGTCCAGTCTTCGATTCGCGAGCTTAGTGGTCGATACCAGTATACAACATCAATTGGTTTCACATTCAGAAAGTCAAATTCAACTACAAGTAGTTCAATTTTCTAAAACAAAATCCCTTCGCACAGTGAATGCTAGGTCTTTTTTTTAATATACAGGCATATCCCACCACCAGAGCGATTTCGATCATTTCGGGCAATGACATAGTTTGCAATGTAGACATCTTGATCAGAAAATGAATCATCAAGTCGCGTTTCACATAAACAGAAAATACTGATGCGACCATCCGAGAGTAGCAATTTGATTTCATCGATGTGCATCGGCAAGCTTCTTATGTTCAGGTGTCTAATAATTTTTCCTTTACACCACTTAAGTTCCTTTGTGATGTAAGGTTCCACTGCCTCAGGGCCGTCATAATTTCTTGCTTTAAGTTTCGCAATTATATAGAAAACAGGCTTACCTTCAAATCCATCACTCTCCCATGTGCCAACAAATGATCCTCCACTTTTTATACACCCGTTCACGGTAAAGTCTGTTGGCCCCTCTCCCTTTTCCCCATCAGATTCATAGTCATATTCATACTGCCACCTAATAACTAGCACATCGCCAGGGTCATTGAATTGGTTGAGATATTCTGCATTATCTATTGAAAAATATACATCCTTAATATTTTGTACAGTAGTCAAAAAGTAATTCATTAGGCCCATAATTTTTGTGATGTGATGACTATTAAGTAGAAGCCATTCAGGAAGTCCTATTTATGGCGTTTCTCTGTGATCATCGATCCCACTATTTTAAATGTTTTCAGCGATATGCCATGGCCATCAGTATACTATTATGCTATTTTGTTAATTTACTCGTGTTCGTAGATACAGTACAATCGTATTTTAACAACTCTGATGCATAATAAATAATGAATTCAAAACTTAAATGACTTATTTAATCGTTTATTATTAATAATATTACTATAATTTAATAGCTGTTTATTTGTTAGAAAATCAGAACAGCGCAAACAGTGTCATTGTCAGATAAATTAAGTCTCATTTTCATTAATAACCAACGCTCTTGTTCTGTTAGCTCTAACGTTGCTCGATAATGGCGCTGCACAATTGCGAAATGTCACTGCTCGTTCCTTACCTTTAACACACTCGCTTGGCAGCTTCATTCCCACTGGCAGAAAGTACGTATAACATTCTTGTATATCAGGATAAATGAACCAATAGATCCCCTACAAAATATACTGAACATTATTATTATTATTAACATGGACATTTTCTTTAGGAGTGATATAGTGTACAGTATGGTGCACACCATGCCCCCGATTAAAAAAAAAAAAAAACATAGTATGCCTCTCTGCCCCCCCCCCCCATGGCAAAAGGGCATAGCTGACATTTTTGGCGAAAATGAGTTATATAGCCTAGTGGGGTCAGTACATCATGTTACACATGCTGACACAAAAAAAAAACAACAACTTACATTTCCATCTAAATCTATATATATATACTAAATATTTTATTAGAATATAAAAAACAATAATATTCGTAATCATTTCATTATTACTTGAATTTGGATCATAAAGAAGAATTGCTAATAATAATAATAATAATAATAGGCCTAATTTATATTGTACTTACATGACTTAAAATATAATTTTATTGTTTTACTTTGTAAATAAAATTTAAAAAATAATTGTAATTCTTGTTTAACGTACACATAGAAACAGTCACATGCGCATTCTAACTAAACAGCAGTTCTATTTCATATACGCATACGCATGCATCCTTCACGCAGTGAAGTAACGCCTATGCGCTCTTGTGCATAAGGCCCCCTACCCACAGAGTCCTCGATCTAGCACCTTGAGCCAAAAAGGCTTTGTTGATACATAATAGCATACTAATGTTAATTCATTTTCTTGTTTGTATACTTGATTAGCCTATACATGGGTTTTTAATCGTTTGTAATTTTAGTATTTATTATTTAATGCGTTTGTTTGGTATTATTGTACATTTATTTTATAGTTTATACATGACTAACATATGAAATTATACATTGAATGTTATTTTTGAATAATCTGACTCAAAATTGCGTTGAAAGGAACTAAACTGGGTACTTATATCCTTTTGCCAAAGTTTGTCAACATGTCTTAAATCAGAAAACCCACGGCAAAAGGGCATAAACTGACATTTTGAGCGCAAAAATCAATATTTACAGAAAAAATGTGTGCTACACTGGAAGAGACATTATTTGTCTATTTGAATACATTAACCATGAAATCTAATACTAAAACACATTTTAGGGCTAAATAAATTACACGTTTTGCTTAATATCTCCAAAACAGCAAATTGTCAGTTATGCCCTTTTGCAATGGGAGGGCAGCCTGTCCCATGTCTGATTTTGTTTCTATTGCAATTCAATGCAACCTTGTCAAATTTCACAAGGATATGAACAAGTTTAATGGGTCTACCAAAGCTCTGAATATTGAGTGATATATGTGTATGAATGATTGAAATTGTGAATCACTTTCAAAAGAAAGAAATTGAGCAAGCTAGTTAGGCATAGCAATGTCATCATGCATCAGTAGTTGTCCAGTTTTGTAGATTCGGGTTCTTCATGCGGTCCACTTCCACCACTTGGAAGACGTTTTGATAGTGTTTTTCTGTGCGAGCTGATGCCAGAAAGTTACAACTCAATTTCACCCCACGTTATGCAGCATCATTGATGTCATTAATTGCCTTAACATTGGCCAGAGATATCTTGAATGAATCTGCTTCTGTCCATGTCGAAACGTCAATGTAAAGGAAACTTGAATTCAGCTGCAATCTGCTGAAGAAGAACTATGAGTCTTCAGTCACAAAATCGGCAAGTTTGGATTGGAGGCTGACTTGCACAGGAAATTGTGGTTTTCCAAACCCGTCCCATACCTACGAAGAGGGGCATCACCCTCTGTTCCTGGTTTTGTGTCCAGGAGTTTTTGCCTCTTTACAGACGGGACTTTACTGCTGAACAGAGCAAGCGGTACTAGCTCGGATATCAAGTAACATAAGGCCTTCATAGCACTTTTGGCCATAACCTGATTTACTTGCTGATACTTAAGCAGGTTCTGGTAGAGAACCAGATCATTCCAAGGCATCAACACTGCAGCTGCTTTGACCCACCAAGGGCAGTAGATCAGGATCACAAATTGGACGAATTTTGTGACTTTCTACACTTGATGCTTCATGGTAATTGTGCCTAGACTAGTGGGAGCTTCTGAATTTGCTTTTCGAATAAGCAAAATGTTAATGCAGTACAGCAACTTTGCCATCCATCTGGCTTTGTGGAGGGCACCAGGTAGCCATTGAAAAATCAGGATCAGGATTGAGATACACAGCACATAACTGAAGGAACTCTCGATAGTCGTCACGTTTCATGTCCATTTCCGATGTTACAATTTGTAAGCTTTCAGTACCAGTTCGGAGACAAAATCTTGTGAAGCATCAGGAAATATATCGAATCGACTGAGAGACTGATGGGGATGATAAACAGATCCCATTTTTTTCTAAGACAAGTGAATATCATCACGTCAGGATATTTGGACGTCTCGATTTTTAAGTTCTCAAAACACGTGTGTTAGTACAACTTTACCAATATGATGTCGACATCATAACCAAACCAGCGCACGATGTAGGCTCTCCTGTATGTGGATGCATGCTCCAGATACGGCCCCCA